TAAAAAAAAAAAGAAAAATAGGAAAAAAAGAAAACAAAATTGTGTAACTCATCTGCCCTTTTGGATATTGTATAAAGTTCATATTGAGCTTCACAGTCATTTGATTTAATATGGTTTGTAGGCCAATCGATAATTTAAAATTATTCTTATGTAGATTTCATTTTTAAACGAACGAAGGTCACTGTGATTTACACGTTCACGCCTGGCGACCATCTTAATTATTTGTAATTTCATTACAGGACACCTAATACTAATTAGGCAATCCTGTATATCATTGTCAACCATATTTGATACTTAAGCTACTTATATATCTAAAACATCTTTTAATGGCAGCTTTGCTACTTCGAAAAATATCCTAAAATATAAGAGAAAAAACCATAAAACAATGTTCTAAAAATAGTGTTATTAGATATTTTATTAAATAAAAATATTTAATAGTTTTTAAACTTACTTATGACTGTACTTGTTGCGTACTGTTGTCAGAGCTTCTTTATGTTTCCTGTGTAATACTTCATTCAAGAGGTTTACAATATCTCTTATGTCATCAACTTTATAAGTACTATAATATTCTAAGGTTGTAGTCCATCCGCCTAGGTCTTTCATTTGTAAAGCAAGAAGAAGAGCGGCGGCGGCCATTTTACTGTCGCTAAGTGTTACTGTTGAATAGTCCATCAATGAGTACTCCAAAATGAATCGAGCTAAAGTTAGCGTTGGCATTGAAACTTTTGCACACTATGGAAATATTACAATTATAATTCGGCATATTACAAAAGAAACCGTATAAAACATGAGTATTAAAATTATGAAGATAACATACCCTAGCATATCGCCTAAGAAATCTGTAAGAAAGAGGGATACCAAGATCAAAATCTACTACTTTTAACACACTCATTTCCATCCTAATTAATTCTCTTTGCGTATAAGCACCATCACATATATATAAGAAGTCTTCAACCATTGGAGGTATTCTCTCCTAAAATAATCAAACGGTAAATAAAAAGATCTAATAATACTTAAATAAAATTTTTGATACTTACATCATATTTACTTGCTATGAAGAGACTTGCAGCACCCAACAGCTGTAATGTCTCTTTCCCAACTGTTACTTTCGTCAGGTACAGATCAACTAGCTTCACAGCCAAATACAGAGTTTCATGATTTAGTTCGAAAGATTCTTGAACTTCTACCATCCAATCGACTAATAAGGCTCTCATCCATCGTGAAAGGCACACTTGTCTCTCCATATAATCTCCAATAGGAAATAAACGTTCTCTGCTTTTTAAATACTCAAAGATATCCATAGCATAGTGGGAAACTTGAAACGGATCTGACCAGTTTTCTGCGTCAAAATTCCATTGAACTCCTTCAGGTAATGGTTCTGTAGGAGGAGCATCTAAACGAGCAGCTATTGATTTATGTTCAGATTTTTGAGGTACTGGAGAATCATTTTTTTCAGTTGCCTTTTCTTTTTCTGTTGTTTTTGATTCTTCAGCCTGCGGAAACCATTGTTTATGCATTTAAGAATTACATATGCATGTTTAAAATAAAATGTAACATTATAAATTACTCACCTGAATAATATTGCTTCTACGTAATTTCCTTTCACTATCATCTCCTACATCTTCTAATGCACTTACATATAATGAGTTATCTTCTGATTTTTCTAAGTCTAAACTACGTCTAACACTAACAATTTTACTAGGTATTTCAACTTTTTCATCATCTTTTTTTCCTGGTTTTATACGCAGTGCTGGTTTTGGTTTTGGAGGTACTACCTCAGGTTTAGGGACTACTTTTTCAAGCGTTCTAACTGAACTTGTCTGAGTGTAAGGTTTTGCTGGAACAGTTGATTTTTTTATAGTTTTCTTTGGTTCTAGTTGGTTCTGGTTTGTTCCTAATGTCTTTCCAATGGCCTATTAAAAAAGTATAAAAATTAATGGAAAAATAATTTTAATGAAATGGAAAATATTATAAGAACATACATTAGTAATGTTTCCTAAAGCAGATCTTTTTGTTGTTTTCTCTTTTGGAGGAGATGCTTCTGCTTTTCTTTTAATACGGGGATCTTTCCCAAGAACTGGTGGTTTGATTAAAACATTATTTAATACAGAATTTTGACTCCTGGTTGTTATTCCTTTTCTTGTAGGTATATTAGCATTACTTTGTTTATTTTGAACATTTAATACTTTTGATGGTGCCATTCTTATGAATGATTAAAATTAAAATATTATGGGTTTCTCCTGTAGAAGTAAAACTAAAGATTAGCCATACACATGTCTTAACTATTGTTTACTTATTGTCTTAACTATTTTACAATTTTATTACTTTATGTTAATGCATATAAAATACTACTGTTACAACTCTGGAATTCTGCTGTTTATCAAATGCAAAATTGAAAAGAACGCATAATAAGGCAAATTTCCTAATTATTAATAAACTTGTATAAATTCAACTAACATTTCACCGTTAATAGCTGATTTTATACTAAAAAATTATACGTTACGAATCTTTGTAAACAATAAGCAAAAATTATGGTTAAACATTTTCGAAATATCTAATAATTTTTATTTTTAAGTTTCTCCAACATTATAATTAAATGTTAAAACACTAATATTTAAAATACATTTCACGATTGAATATGTATTAATTTATAAGAGAACACACGAGTTGCATTGTCTGGTATGATGCGTATACGTGGCTAATCAGTTAGAAGGAACACGAGACTTTCGAAATAATATTTAGTTAAATTCGTTGGCTTTTCTCCTTCGCCAGTTAAATTTTATCACATTCTGATCAATGGCTGAGTGAATAATAATACGATTGATATCACTTTATGTGATAAATTGAAAGAATTTTTCCACTTTCTTTGAACACAAGTTCTACCCGTTGAATAAATTTATGGCGCGGTTCATTCACGGAGGAAAAAACGCGGGAGCGTAAGTCAAGGACACATTATTGAAAAGCACAAAACCGAAATTTTCTTACAAATAAAAATCATTTATAAAATCCCGAAACGTAACATCGAAAATGGAAGAAACAATAAAATACGGAAAAAGCAGACATTTTCCACGGCTTCCATGAAGTCAAGCAACCATGAAAACAAAACATTCACAGATTTATTTCGTTCACGAATAAATTATTTACGCGAAATTTACACTTAGCGTGATTAACGAATGATTCCAATTTACCTGATATCGTTGATTCTTATTTATTGCGCTCTAAAACTTAGTAGTTCTCATTTATCAAATTCTTGTATCACCAGTACGTTATCACAATCTCCACTCGTTTCACCAGAGCAACTGAAGTCGATGCTGTTCAAAATATCACAGTTACCATTAGCACCTCTCCTGATTGGTCTCTATACGATTCGTCCGGACCAATCACAGACCTCGAAAACTTTCGAACGCCACCTATTGATCAGATATTCAATTAACTATACTTCGTTTATTGAAAATACATTGTTTCTCCAATATTTTATTATAATTTTAATAAATGATGTTTAAATAGAAAAATCAAAAATCTGAATCACGTTTAATCGTAACTTATATAATGTATACGAACTTTATTATTCAATTTTAACGTATCGATTCTATGGAATTACTAATCCATTTAACCTAGAACTATTAAATGCATATTATTTTACTTAAATAATAAAATAGTCAAATCATTTGCATATTCGTGGAATAAAATGCCCACTACAGATTTCCATATTCAAGTTATTGAAATATTCAAAACATTCGAGTATTTATAAAACATCAGGTTAATTCGAATTCCAAGTTTAACGTACTTATTAACATCGAGTTTACAAATAAATGGTTTTTTGCCTTTTGGCTCGTTACTAGAACCGTTAAGCCACAGCTACGTGCTATTCAGAAGTTGATTAAGGTGAATGGCGGATGCTTAATATTTTCCAATAAACAATTAACCTTTGCCCCGTATTTAGTCGTTCATCCAAAAGCAAAAGAGCTGCATGTTCATAAACGAGAGTCGGAAATTCATAAAAGTAACTGCGCAACAACGAGAATTATATCGCGGCAACCGTTTCTATTTGTCGGTGTTTTGTTAACCTAACAAAATATGATTCTCGTCCACATATTGTAAGGGTTTGTCACGTACCCAACGGTTACCGTATATTCACTTCAACGTGTGCGTCGCCGTGTACTGCACTCCGAGTTTTTGTTTCATTCGTTCGTGACTTTTCTATGAACAAGCGAGAATGCAAAGTGAACGATTGGTAGTTAAATATATAAAAGTGAACAACTGTTTCGCCTATTTGCCAGACACCTGGCTACGAAAATTGGAAACGAAGGTTGGTGTTGTACGTCTCACGAAATTCAGTACAAGTATACGTACGTATATATATGTTTTACGCCTACCGCATACACAGATCGTGTAAATACATATGCATATATGTATGGCATATATTACAGACACAATAGTAGATAGAAAATCTGATGTTGATCAGAATACAAACAGGTTACAGCTGATTTTAAAAACGTCGATAATTTCCTGATAGATGTCGTTATTTATTTTTGTACTTCAGTCGATAAAATCAAAATTCTTCCGACAGGCATCGTTTTAATCTGTGGTCAGTTATCATAGCTCAGTCGATGAAACAAACATTTATCTTGCATTTTTATCGGCTAACCTACTTTATCAACTCGCGGTAATATGTATCTGTAATTTCTTAATAAATTGTTATATATATATATATTACTTAAAAAAATATATATATTTATATTTTTTATCTTATATAAAAAGTATATATATATTTTTTTATCTTATATAGAACTTCAATGCAATTAACTTGAATCGATTAACACGTTTGTAACACGGCCGTAATTTTATATTTTACATAATGAAAATGAAATGAGTCCTATGGATATTGTTATTAGAAATTGTAAACTACGACATTACATTTAGAAACTCAATGGCTCGTTTCAGTTTCATTTTTCTAATAGTTTGTTTAGAAGATTTATTCGATTGAAGAGAGTATTATAATTGAGGAGACTCTCGCCGAAATGTGCGCTGGTAGCGAACGTGTTAAAACGATTAAATCATTGAAAGTATCAACATGCTCGAATAGTTGTGCGATTATTTCGGAATGCAGGAAAATGCTATTGAAATAGAACACAAAGGTAAAACGTACTACGCGTCCTGCAACGCGAGTGCAAGCCCAACCGAGATACTATGCCTTGGCGCAAGTTTCGCGCGATGTTTGGGCATCAACGAAGGGGATGAAGTGTTCATCTCTTCCCTAAAAGATGTGCCACACTTAACGACAGTTCATGTTACACCTCGCACCATGGACGACAGAGAGATCTTGGTAGAATAGGCAGAGTTTTTACACTATCCTCTGGATACAAAAGTTCAAGACTGAACTCTGAATCGTTTTGTAGGAATTACAAATGGAAAAAGTGCAGTCGCTGTTGCTCAGTCAGATCCGGGTTGTAGGCAAGGGTCAGTCGATCGTTGCATGGGTGTCGAAGTTTTCTTCGGTGACATTCATCGTAGGCAAGTCTGACATTTAAACTTTGAACATCGCAGAGTCTTAATTGCTCGTGCTTTATGCTCGAAATATTCGTGCTTAACGTTCAACTTCGATCTTTCCTGATGCAATAGACTCCCTAGATCCAAACGTCAGGTACGGTAAACTGGAGCAATTAACAGAGATACACGTGGCGGATGTACCGGCGAACAAAAAGTCCGAGGTTTCGTCCGAACAGAGCGTGTTCCACCAATTCAGAAGACTCGTCCCGCTTGCGATCAGATCCAGCGATTTGAAGCCACGACAGGACGAGGCAGTTAGAAGCTACGAGCTACTGCAGAGCTTCCGTAGCAGGAAAAGGCCGGGTATATACCGCGTCCATCCGATGCCAGAAAGAATGGCGAGCGAGAAGAGCTCGTTCGACGAGGTCGCGCATTGCCCTTACCACGTGTTCGTGCCGCGAAGACGGGCACCGAAGTTTGAGGGTGCGTTCGCCATTTGTCGCGTGAGGAAGTTGTCTGAAAAAAAGCAACATGTAAACGTAACCAGCACCAGCTTCCTCACTAAAGATGAGTCCACTGTGCCCGAACTAGTCCAGGAACTGACCGTTAAACTATTCGTTCTTGAGGATTCGCTGATGGGATCTCCTGTTTGGGACGCGGACTACTTCAACTCTGACCTGCTTCACAACAGTTTATACGTATCGAATAGTGTGAGGTTCACTTTAGGCTTAAAAGTGGGAGCCAAAGTGAGTTTATGCCAGGTGGTACCTCTTCAGCTCCCGGAGGATCCATCCTCCTTAGAATTGTTTTCCTGGAAGGACTCGGTGTCAGTCGAGAAGTTTGATAATTACGTGAAGACTCATTCGACCCGGCAAAAATTGCTGCTCAATTCTTGCGCCGTGGTTGTCCTCGACACCGGTGAACGATGCATCGTGAAAATTTCGCCGGAGAATTGCGCTTTCGCCCTGATCGACGAGACTGTTATTAAAAAGCTGCGGATACATCCGAGATCGATGGCTGAGAGAAGCCACCTGCGAATTTCGGAAACGCTGGATAGAGAGGATTGTCCACTAAGCCAGGCTTCTACCAGGTAATCATTTGTTTTTCTTCGCATTAGATGACGGTGGGTGCCAATTTCATACATATTGAATTTTGTAAATGTTTCAACGATTTTGATTAACGCCATTATAGGAATATGTGTCCTAATCGTGGATTTTTCAACCTCTAATGTTCAAGATGTAAATGAACGAAGATCAATTTTTCTAGGGACAATGAAATAAACCTTATAATAAATATCTCTAAGCCCGGTGTTAATTGAATTGGATGTATCCTGGGCGGTGTTCGCTTTATGTTATGTTATATCGTAACTTTTTAATGAAAACATTTTTAATGATTGCATTGCTGTCTAAGCACAAGATCACGATTACTCCCGTAGGCTATATACAGAAATGGCACTCCGAATTGCGTTTATTCTGGCGGAAAACTATTGTGTTACAGGCATTTGAAACACGTTCTGACGGAATGTCAGCTAGCGCTCGATTTTAGTCTCGGTCTGCGTGCGCAATTAGATTTCGATTACGACCGGGAGAACATTTTGATTTCCGGTGATGTCGGTTCGGGCAAGACGACCGTTTGCAAAATGCTATGCGAATATTTGGAGAACCCGCCGTATTTTGTACACACACAGATGATCGATTGTAGATCCTTGAAAGGTAAGTCTTCGTTCGCAGCTGTTTCTCTAACTGTTAATTGAGCCGCTCATTTTCCGAATCGATTAAATTCGTTTTTTCAATATTTTAAAATGTTATCGTCAAAGTACTTGACTGACCGATCTAGCTAATGAGTGACTCAATTTATAGTATCGTTTTCATTGGAGTTACTAACGTATCTTTTATCTTCCACCTTTTTTATAGGGAAAAAGGTTGAAATGCTCCAAAAGATTATAACAACTATTTTGGGCGAGTGTGCCTACTATCAGCCATCCGTGTTATTCTTCGACGATCTAGAATCCATCACGAACGCATCCGCAAACGATGAAGAAAACACTCCGGACGCCATTAACGCTGCCAGGTATTTCCCCGTTTCCGTGCTTTTCATCGCATTTCTCATATTCTGCGCGAAAATGAAAAAGTGAAATTACACATGGCGATATAAAAATGGGCGGCAATGCATGTGAATCATTTAAAGAATAAAATGACGATGAATAATTTAAAGAATAAAATGAAGATGAACAATTTAAGGAATAAAATAAAGATAAATCGTTTAGGTGATAATAAAAATTTATCACCAGGATCTCGGATATGTTGATTAACACGGTGTCGCAGTACCAGGAGTCGTATCACGTGTCAATCGTCGCGACGTGCGCCGGGGTCAACAGGATCGGTCAGAGGTTAAGACCAGCAAAAGGATCTCATTTCTTCAGGACAGTTCTGTCGATACCGAATCTTGAAAAGGTATTCAAATATTAATTATTCTAATAAATCATCCGTAGTCTGCGTTAAATTGCGTTTCCGCTTCTAACGAAATTATAAATCCGTGTCAACTGCACTTTACATTCCTCATATTTCAGCGACATTCTCGGCAAAATTTTAGAATATTTAATATTTAAATTAGCGTTACCGTACTTTTTAACCCTTTTCACTCCAGAGGCGTCGTCAATTAATTTGACACAGTACAATTGTAAAGTTTCATATTTACTATGAAATTTCCTATAACGCATCAATATGTGAAATATTGAAATGTAATAGTTTTATTCCTCAATTTACGTGCGATTTCTCGTCAAATCGGCTTCAGAAAATGTTGAGTATTTCCAGTGGAAAACTTCTACTGTGCAAAGGGTTAGCAATAGCAAATGATCAATAACAAAATGAAGGAAAAAATGAAACATTTTGAAGCTAATAATTAATTTCCGCCGGGATTTTTGGGAATTTTTGTAAATGAAAAGATACTATACTCTTTCCAATGATATCCAGGAAATTTCATTAAGCGAATAAATGTTAGTAAAAGGTGAACATCGCTAACAGAAAAATCGATAAGGACGCGTTGAGTACTAGCGACAGGTGAATCACTCCTTAACCAGTTGACTGTGTTTGACGAGTATTACTCGTCACCTGGAAATCCAAAATAATACTAATTTCTTCAATAATTACTTATTTATTCTTTCAAATAAACACGTCATTCTTTTCCATGTCGCTTTAGTATTTTATTTTGACATATGTGCTTCGAGGCAGGACTTTCAGGAAACTTCTGCCAATCCTAATAAAGACTTCTATCTTTCGAAGGCAACGAGGCATAGTATTATTTGAATATTTCCTAAATCTAAATTGGTAACTATTTAAACCGTAAAAAATTTTATCATTGTATAAGAACAAGCAAGTTTTAGCTAAAGCACTTCCTCTAACTTCTTAACCAGTTAACTGTGGAATTTAGTTGGAGAAACCTCTGGTTCTGCGCAATAAAATCGAAAAACGGAGTGTATACTCGTCGAACGCAGGACGAATGCACGTAGAGTATATGTTAACGAAAGATCAAAGCGAAACAAAGAAGAATTACATGTTTATGTGAAAAAATGAAGAATTCATCGTTGAAAGAATTAGTATCATGTCAAACTTTACGATGACGTGTATACTCGTCAAACACATATGTAACTATTTTTCTTATACAGGTACATTTATTTTCATAAATATATTTTATTGTTCGTCAGGTATCAATAATATTTATCACGTATCAGTTCTTTTTAAGAAACTGGTTATTTTAACCTACATTATTTCTGTTCCCTTATGTTATCTGTAGCGAGAATTTTTCTATTTATTATTTACTAAAGAAATTTTATAATAACTATAAGAAAAACATTAATATCAATAATATTAGAATTTTATTCAATCCCGAATAACCGCGGCAATGATATCAAAGAAACAACAGCACACGTTTGCTTCTCAATGCTTGTTTTATTGCTCAATTACATGATAAATGCAACGACAATTTCGATTTTATCATTGTCATCGTCGCTCGCATCATTTACAGTAGCTCCAACGTGGGATAAGTCGGAGACAGATGGCCCATTTGTTTTTAAAAGAACTTCAACATCAGAAATGTCAGTAATACCCGACGAAAAGCAAATACATTTTATGACAGTAAATACACATAAGAAGAATAATTAAATAGGCTTTTGTGCAAGGTTCAATACACCGGTAAGAACAATATATAATATGACGACGTAAATGATCGGGATATTTTTTACCTAATCCACAGAGCCGTCTCATACGGAGTTATCATAATTACATCCTTAATCCTCATGACCGTATATCTTTTAGACAAATCGACAAGCACCGGTACTTATTTCTAGCAAAATCATCCTGGTATTAAGACCCGCGTAAAACAGTCATAGAATCGGTAAAAATAGTTGATTTACCTGCATAAAGAGGATCAAAGAAGGGTAAATGATCTTCCATCCGATTAAGAGGGTCGACCGCCGCTCGATCATGTTCCCTTGCGCGTGGGCCCACTTCCCCCACAATAAAGCGGGCCTCTCTAGAACACAAAAGCGAAAAACTCCTGTACTCTTGGCTCCAGCCTATTGACACAGTATTATCGAACAATGACAATTCTTCTCTTGTTCCACTCATTTTTGGAAATCGCTGCTAATGACCCACTTTTTACCTTCTTTGTGAAAGACACAGTCACTGGACACGCAGTAATCAACGTCGGAACGAGTGTTGTAGACATTTACATTCATATGCACACAATACTTGTACGTTTTTCTTTCTCTCAGTTCGCAGTGTTAATAGTTTACCGTTTACAATCTGATACGGTCAACTACAGTTCCGTTTCACAAAATTCGCATCGCCGTTTGTATTATGCCTATCACGCTGAAACGTGAACGAAGTTTATTCTTCATCCAAGGCGTGGATATTAACACTTAGGCAACCGCCTAAAAAGAACTATAACTACAACCTCTTTCATTATCTTCAATTAAACTCATTCAATTAATTTGGTTGAAAACTTTGTTTTGTAAAAACAAGAACCGTATTTGATGAACTGCAGATAATCCCACTTCAAGTAAATAACTGGTTACGAAATACAAAGGTGAACAAGTTCAGATGACAAATTTTCTTTAGCAAAAATAGAAACGAAGGGGAAGAAAAATATTGAATGACTGATTGATCGGGCAATATGGAAATTAATATAAAGTTCAATGAACGAAAGGAAACGCAGGATTTTTAACACTGAAATCATCGGACGGATGAAACTGATCCACTTCGGAATTTTCATTTTGCAAACTATTTAAATTATGATGACGTTCTTGCGAGAGATTTTTAACACGTTGATTGTCACGAAAATTTCGAGCGTTTTGTTACACTAAGATTTATTCCTTTATAATAGAGAAAATAGTATTAGAAATAATAATTAATGGTTTGATGTTACAGTACTCATATTACGTTATTATCCAGTTTCTTGTGTTACTAAATATTTCGATTCAATGTCAATTTTCTTGTAATTTTCAAGCAATTTGGAAGCTCCGATCGTCGGTGTCTACCGTGGCAGTCAACGTGTTAACTAAATGTATGTATTTGTAGAGATACAAGACTAGGAGATCCTTCGAATCTCAAAAAATTGAAATTAGTCACTCTAATTGCTCGATAAGTTTAGTGTTAATAAAATTTTGTAACCGGTCGGTCGACTGGTTCGCGGTACGTTTAGTGTTAATCGAGCCAGAGATTTACGAGTACCGTTGATCCGGCTTACTACTGCGTTCTACATTCAACGCGTATACTCGTCGTTAATATTATTACACACCCCATAAGAGATTTTTCGAACGGAATCCCATAGTTAACTGGTTAACAGAGGGTAACGCGTTAGATGCACCGTTCAGGTGAACTCTTGTTAGAGAGATCAACGGAATTTCAAGGCGTCTGCATTATTATACGGCTCCTGTTCACCATTGTAACCTGTGTTTCACTAATCAGGTGGATAGAATCGATATTTTGCAATTAATACTCGGCGACAAGTCGTACGCGCCCGGAGACGTGAATTGGGATTACTATGGAAACAAGACCGAGGGATGGATGGCCCAGGATCTGGTTGATCTTGCGGAGAAAGCGGTGTTCGCTGCTTGGAAACGTCACGGTAACGAAATTTCTAATTGCCTCCCTTACTCGTGATTGCTAATCGTTAGCGATTCGCTCACTATCGCGTTCGAAATTTGTCAACTCGAAACTCTTCTCTTTAGTCTGCACGTTTAACCCTTGAGTGCTGTAGTCGGTCTCTTGGACCGCTGGCAAATTATAAGTCAGCACTAAAATATAAACAGAAACACAAGCAGCCTTTAATTGTTATGATTGAACATTATAGTGTAGGTATTTGAAAGGTGCGTAGTGATACAACGCAAGCCATGCACAAGAAAATATACCTAATGACAAAATTTTAGGCTAGTTTTTCACATATCAATATCCTTTGATTTCAATGATTCCTTAATGTGTCCACGGAAAGCTTTAGTTTCCCAGATAATCGTGAAAAACATTCGCTACTGAATTCTATGTCCATGACAACGTATTAAAAGGTCATTGCAATCAAAGGCTGTCGATACATCAGATTCTGCCCCAATTTCACAATAAGTAATCACAAATGTTAACCCTTTGCGGTCGAATGCCATAATGACGAGGCCGAGCTTTGATATCTACATTCGAAAGCTGCAAATGAATAATTTAACCGATCAAATAGCGAGAGATCTGTTTTCCCTGTGTTTAAGACTTCGATACATAATTCAGCTGTTTTCCAGACGAGTTCTCAGAAGTTTAAGAAACTCTCGTTCGCGAAGGGTTAAACGGTTCTCTCGAGTGCAAAGCCTTAAAAGATTCATTCAACACTAAAACCACCAAGTAACTAAATTGAGTTCTTGTAATTTCTCTATAGAAACTCTAAAAGTGCGTCTATCGAGGCTTCAATTCATTTACGATCCAGTTTGCGCATTGCTAAATCAATTTCTTTAATGGTTCCCCAGAGAATCACCTGTTGTCTTTTTAATAATTGCAAAAAGAGGACGTCAGGAATGAGTGATTCCGACCTGTCTGGTAGTTTTAGTGTTAAGAACGTCTCGCAAAGTTTCGATTGTAGACGTAGAATTCCGAAGCTCGCGGTAGCCGATTGAAATTTTATCGCGGCGATAAGCGGCCGTGCGTGGCGAGTGAGAGCGTCCGTTGACAATCGTATCATTGTTGATTCGCCGGGGATAAAAGGAGCGACGAAGCCGCCCGTCGTTATCACGGAAGAGGACGTGTCGATTGCCCTGAAGAATTGTACGCCGATGTCTTTGCAAGGCATACAATTGTACAAAGGCGAGGGCCACGTTTGGTCGGATATCGGCGGGCTGGCGGAAGTGAAGAGGTCCCTCGTAGAGATTCTACAGTGGCCGTTGAAGTACCCAGAGATATTTAAGAACGCCCCGATCAAGCTACAAAATGGCGTGCTGTTGTACGGGATGCCCGGCACCGGGAAAACGATGCTCGCCAAAGCGATCGCCAATGAGTGCGGCGTGAATCTAATCAGCGTCAAGGTATATACTTACTTTACAACTACAAATTACATTCGGACTCCGCTGTAGGCACAGCAAACAATCGACCTTTAACACGTTGTCCTATGATTTCTTTCAAAATCGTGCTTAATGAAACCACTTTATCATTGGGTCGATAATTCATTAAACAATGGAGAAAGTTTGATACTTATTCCAGTAAATGTCACTTGCATTTATCGAATTCAGTTTAGAATTTTCATTACGAATCTGACATGATATCATAGAACAAGGAATTGATATGTCATATTAACTGTTAATTATTGAAATATTATTAATGGTATTAGAATATTATTAATACTATAATTGTTAATGATTTGGCATCAGTTCTTAGGGAACACTATTAGCTACAGTTTATTTAGTAACACGTGGCACTAAATGCTTTTATTTAACATCTCTTTTGTCGTTGCAATTGCTTGTACTATTTCTTATTTCGGTTTTTTATATTTATTGTCGTGCTGTTTGTAAAGTTTGCGTCCATTCCCACGTAGATTCTATGAATACCTATTTGTGTACGAGTTGCATTTTTAGGGGCCAGAGTTGTTGTCTAAATACATCGGCGTGAGCGAGGAGTCCGTCAGAAACGTCTTCGAAAGGTACATTCAATTTAATGCTTCAGATCAGAGGCAGTTGATTAAACGTTTTTAACAATTTCTTTGCGATGTCCAGAGCTCTCCGAGCGAAACCGTGTGTTCTATTCTTCGACGAGTTCGACAGTCTCGCCCCTAGGTGAGTTTCACCGTTAGAGCGTACAGTAGAATCTACTATAACGCGATTAAAATATTCCGTGTTACAGGGTTTCACGTTTACGAATTCCGCGTGAAATTCCTCCTTCGGATACTGGTCTAACTGGCATTAACGCTAAAACTATCGAATAGTTAAATTGACTTTTTGAAGTTTCTCTATAGAAACTCCAGGGGTGCATCCATCAAGATTCAATTGATTTAAAATTCAATTTGCGTATTGTTAAATCAATCTCCTTAATAATCTCTGAGAGAAACGTCTATTATCTTTCAATAATTGCAATAGGAAGAAATCAGAAATAGGTTATTTTGACACATCTGGTAGTTTTAGTGTTAAAAAATCTCACTTTCATAGTTATTCTCCGGCGATTTATTAATCGTGTCATAGGAGGTCCTATTGTACATAGTTGCCACCACGCGTTTCGTACTTATTTGGAATGAATTACAGACGAGGCCACGACAGCACCGGCGTCACGGACAGAGTCGTCAATCAATTGTTAACGCAAATGGATGGAGTGGAGGACAGAGAAGGTGTGGCTGTCGTGGCAGCGTCGTCGAGGCCAGACTTATTAGATCCAGCTTTATTGAGGCCTGGCCGTCTCGACAAGTCTTTGTATTGTCCTTTACCAGACGAGGTACATTCTGAACAATATATTCAACACGTTTCCTTTCTTCAATTATCCCAATGATATGCTTACAAATCAATCGAAATGCTTTCGCGAATAGACCGCGAGTCCTCGTGCACTAATGGGAAAGTTGAATGATTTTTACGACATTTATAGGAAGAAACTCTTCCCTACCGTGATTCTGTTCTAATTATATTCTCAAAAGTTTCAATTAAATATTTCAATAATAAAGATTCGCAGTCCACCGAACGAAAACCTAGCGACTTGATCTTCCGACGTTTACACTCGATTCAGGTCGACAGAGGGGAGATCTTAGCCGCATTGTGCAAAAAGCAGAAGGTAAACACAACCGAGCTGGATTTGAAGGAACTGTCGGCGATGACTTCCGGCTTCACGGGTGCGGATCTAAACGCGGTGGTCACTCAAGCCAGATTATCAGCTTTCGAGGATGTCGCTGCATCTTTCGCTGATGCTCCTGTGAGTGCGCGTCTCGCTATTATTTTAGAATAGAAATTTTTGAATAGCTCATTCCAATTCGCTCGGTGGTTCTAATTAATTCCTTCTATAATATCGACTCAAACCCGTGACGAAAATTTTCAACCGAATCCGAGGAATCTAAACGTTATTTATTTATTTGTCATATAAATGAAACGTCGCTTTTCTATTAACAATCGTTAACCTTCAGAGTGAACATAGACACCGAATACTCATCAAACTCGTTTCTTCTTCTACTATATTACTAATGACAAAGTAGTTTCATCGAGCACTGTTGCGAAAGGAATCATAGAACACAAGGGGTTGAAGACAAAAATGATAAAGATACGCGTCCGAAAAATTCATCGAACTAATCGCGCGCGTTTGCCCAGCGAAGAATAAACTCCGAAGACCGCAACGCGACGGGGATACTGCCGGTTGCTCCAGTTCACCGTCGCGACAATGGCGAGGGGATCCGAACGCGTTTTCGTGTACACGCGAATTCCGGCGTAGATCGAGATACACCGCGGCGAAAGAAAAAAAGGAAGGGAACGGAATCAGCCGGTGAATACAGCTGGAAAACCTCTCTCGGCCCGGTCGCTAACGATCGTTTCGTTTTGTTGGCCGCCCCGTCGTATCTCTCCCGGGCGCAATAATGAAAAGCATTTTAGCGCGACTCCGGCCGAGAATCATTTGTAGGGAGCTTCCGAAGTAAGATAGTGCGTAATGATGATAATATCGTTAGGTGTACACCCGTTCCCCTGTCCCCTCCCCCTCCAGATGTTGTGTGTCTGTGTGTGTGTATAGAGCGGCGGGCTAGGTAGGCGGGTAGGTGGCGCGATATAACTGAGGAAACGTAGACCAGGTTTATTAGCGCACGCTGCCGAGAGCACCGGCTCCATCCCCCATCTCGCTCCACTTCATCCCGGCCTACGCCTCGCTGAACGTCGAGGGGGTTATTATCTTATGCGTTATAATGATACACGGTTGGAGGCCTGCAGCGGTCCTGCAAAATCGAAAGGCGGCTGACACTGTTGCTGGATCGTAGTCTTGTTCGAGGAGCAACGCGGTCCTTTCTGGACCTGATCGAACATTGAATGGTTGAATGTTGAAAGGTTGAGTATTGAATAGTTAAGTATTTAAAAGTTGAAAGTTGAAAGGTTCAGTGTTAACCCCTTGCACTAGGAAGTTTTTCAGTAGAAATATTTGAACATTTTCTGATGTGATAAAGACGACATTGTTTGAAACTAATTTAACGATAATTCACAGATGAATTAAGCGACAAAGCTATTTTATGTAAATATTTCACATTGCAGTGCAAAGTTTAATTTAAAATACCAAATATTCAACTTCATAGTTTTGCTGTATCGAATCAAGTGGTGACTGAGAGTCACCTTTCGAGCGCAAAGGGTTGAAAGGTTGAGCATTGAAAAGTGAAGTATTGAAAGATTGACTGTTGGAAGTTTGAATGGAGGGAGGTTGAACGTTGAAAGGTTGAGTATTGAATAGTTAAGTATTTAAAGTTGAATATTGAAAGGTTGAACATTGAAAGGTTGAATGTTGAAAGGTTTAATATTGAAAAATTGAATGTCGAAAGATTAAATGCTGAAAAGCTGAATATTGAAAGGTTGAATATTAAAAGACTGAACATTGCAGCTCGTTAGTTCGAATATTTCACTTGTTTGTACCTCGAAACTTATCAAACTTAAATAATTTTCTTTCGGAAATCGTATATATAACAAAGCTCTTTTCTCTTCGAGTAAACGATGGAGTTAAATAAAAGTTTCACCTGTGTTTCCTGAAATCTCTCTGCGAACGTAGTAAAATTTCGAACAATTTTGCACGAGAGTGGAAGTGTTAATTCGAGGAATCAGTTTGCGGGGGAATATATTTCATCGATCAAGTTCAGACGCTTTGTTGATCGGTCTGACGCGTACAACGACCGATTGCGCAGCGCGTCTGGCGGGCGAGCCGAGGTTCGGGGACTATTAATTAACTTCCTACTGAGAAAACGAAGTTGCGTCGGCACTTACCTACCGGAAGAACACGAATATCCAAACTGTGCGTCTAATTAGCGAGCGAGCTTCCTGAGCGCGTCGCATTTGGAGAGGAACGCGTCCCTACGCTGATAAGCGATAATACCTATAGGATGGCTCGACTCGCCGGGGTGTTTCCCGCTTAAAGTGACGATTAATGTCTTCTGTGTCTTCTCAATTCGATCGCAGGATGGAAAAATCGAGGCTGAGGACATCAAGGTTTCTCAGAGGCATCTCGTCGACTCGGTTGCGTCTACTCACCCCTCGTTGTCCAACGCTGAGAAAGAAAAATACAAAAGAATGTGAGTGTTTTGACTATTATTCACATAGTTCTGTGTTTTAGTAATATTTTATTTCATGTTCTTTAATTTACAGTTACGCCAGGTTCGCGAAGAATGACAATTTCATGGAGGACATGGTGAAGAATCAGAAGGCTACTTTAGCGTGAACTCAATTATTAATTGATAAGACATTTGGGAAAAGTTTCTCGACGATCCTTGATACTCGACAGTTTTGTAATCGCCATAGATAGATATATTTTTTTAGTGAACGTGTAATTAAGAATTGTCATTTTCATTGATGCCTATAGATAAATAAGACTTTAGCTACTACTGCCGAAGACTTCGAATACTTCAAACAATCCTCGTTCGCAAAGCGAACAACATATAATAAAACATTGCAATTTCTTCCTTTCCTTGTGTCACCATAAAATCCACACGATGCAGAGAGAGTTCCACGTTTAACATTAGAACTACCAGATGTGCCAAAGCGATTTCTGCATTCTTCCTTCACAATTGTCGTAAATTTTCTAAATTCTCTAAATTTCCTTTACAAGCATCGACATTACTAAATCAATTAATTCGGTAATACCCAGATTGAATTATAAATCAATGGAAACTTCAACCGATATATTCTCAGAGTTCCAAAGAAAAGATATCGATGATGTATCAGTTACGTTAAAATGTCGATATTTACATAAAGATACACGGTAAAAACGTAATGAACTATTAAAGGTAGAGTGTAGACTTACCTGAAAACTTCGATACAGAAGACAAATTGGTCCAACATTTCCAAAACATATGAAAAATGCCTAACTTTCAGGATAGAGCCCAACACTCTCCGAGTGCTCCGAGATAACAAAATTCGTAGGACATTCTTCCTCGCATATTCAATTATCTCAAACAGCAACAACTCGTCGGTTTAGGTAAAATTGTTAAAATCGACTTTCGGCCGATCCGATCGAGCGAATAGGCAGCCCACTGTGCGGCGTTGCGATTCAAATCCTCTCACCGAGCAACCTGTCTTATTCTAATTTTCACTTTATCACGGATACGTGTACCGGGAGATCCCGGGCGCAGTAAAGTTCGAAGGGGTGTGTGGG